CAGTTAAGTAAGATATTACCAAGAATGCAATATGTACGACATCACTCATCCATTGTTTTGGGGCACCGCCTCCCTTAGGAGGACAACTTGTGAGCCACAGGCCTTGGCAGGGTCCCTGGGAGCAGTGGCGCCCCATAAAGAGGCCTGGGGGGAGCCACCGCTTCTGGAAGGGCCCCTGAAGGCGCCACCGCCGCTGACAGGGCCGCTGGAAGCACCACGGTCCCTAGGAACGTACCTGGAGGAGCCCTTGTCCCGGGAAAGGCCCCAGTGATCATGGCTGTCCCTGTGAGGACCCCTAACGTCACCAGTGCCCCTAGGAGATCCCATGGGGGCGGCGCTGTCCCTGTGAGGGTCCCTAGGAGCGTTTCCGTCCCTGCGAGGGTCCCTTGGAGCGTTGCCTTCCCTGAGAGTCCCATGGAAGCTCGGCTGTTCCTGGAGGAGCCCCTGTGGACGCCGCCTTCCCTGAGAAGGCCCCTAGGATTGCAGTTGTCCCTAAGAGTGCCCCTGGTGGATCCAGCGCCCCTGACACGTCCCCTGGGGGCACCGCCGTCCCTGAGAGGGCCCTGGGCTCGCCTTCGTGAGTTGCATGGCCAAGTGACCCTCACAGGGATAGCGGCGATCCCAGGGTCCCTTACAGGGACGAAGGCACCTTCTGGGGTGTTCCCAGGGTCGGCGGCGCCCCCAGGGGCCATACCACAGCGGTGGCGCATTCAGGGGCCCTTCCAGAGGCGGTGTCTCTCCCAGGGTCCCTCTATGGGGCGTCTATACTCCCAAGGAACCTGCCAGGGGTTGCGGCGCCCCTATGGCCCTCCTAGGGCCGGCGGCGTTGGTATGGGCCCTCCTAATGGCAGTGGGTGCCTTTGCAGGGGCGACGGCGCCTCCAGGGGCCCTTTCACATGCAGCAAAGCCCCAAGAACTTCATAGGTTTGTCGTTTATTTTGCATTCGTCCAGTAATCCCTTACTTAACTGTGATTGGTGGAGCAAGATGTAACGTCATCAAATTACAGCCAATTGGAGAACAGAGCAATCAATCAGCACAGCACCCCAACTTATGATGTGCTGTTGGATATTTATTCTCGTTTCACTATTTAAACTCTGGAAGATATGACGTTAAATAAATAAACACTGTCCATAGAGCATTTTCAGTATTATCACGACCTGAACAATGAAAAGGAGAATAAATATCCAACAGCAAAACATAAGTTGGGGTGTTGTGCTGACTGATTCCTCTGTTTTCCTATTGGCTGTAATTTGATGACGTTCCCTCTTATTCCACCAATCACAGTTAAGTAAGATATTACTGGAAGAATGCAATATGTACGACATCACTATCCATTGTTTTGGGGCACCGCCTCCCCTAGGAGGACAACTTGTGAGCCACAGGCCTTGGCAGGGTCCCTGTGAGCAGTGGCGCCCCATAAAGAGGCCTGGGAGGAGCCACCGCTTCTGGAAGGGCCCCTGAAGGCGCCATCACCGCTGACAGGGCCGCTGGAAGCACCACGGTCCCTTGGAACGTACCTGGAGGAGCCCTTGTCCCGGGAAAGGCCCCAGGGATCATGGCTGTCCCTGTAGGGCTCCCCAACGTCACCAGTGCCCTAGGAGATCCCATGGAGGCGGCGCTAATCCCTGTGAGGGTCCCCAAGAGCTGCTCTGTCCCTGGAGGGTCCCTTGAGCCGCTGTTTTCCTGAGAGTCCCATGGAAGCTCAAGGTTCCTGGAGGAGCCCCCAGGACGCCGCCCCTGAGAGGAAGGGCCCCTAGGATTGCAGTTGTCCCTAAGAGCGCCCCTGGTGGATCCTGCGCCCCTGCCAGGTCCCCTGGGGCCACCGCCGACCCTGAGAGGGCCCTCGGGACGCCTCCGTGTCTTGCATGGCCAAGTGACCCTCACAGGGATAGCGGTGATCCCAGTGACCCTTACAGGGACGGGGGCGCCTTGAGGGCTGTTCCCAGGGACGGCGGCGCCCCCAGGGGCCATACCACAGAGTTGGCGCATTCAGTGGCACTTCCAGAGGCGGTGTCTCCAGTCCCTTGATGGGGGCCTCTCTGCTCCCTGGGCGAACCTGCCAGGCGGGTGACCCTATGGGCCCTCCTAGGCTGGCGTGCGCTGTTATGGACCTCCTAGTGGCAGTGTGGGTGCCTTCAGGGCGGCAGGGTTCTGCCAGGGCGATGGCGGCCTCCAGGGGCCTCTTTCACATGCAGCAAAGCCCCAAGGAACTTCATAGGTTTGTCGTGACATTTTGCATCTGGCCCAGTAACTTTTGCTTAACTGGGTGATTGCGGGAGCAGATGTAACGCTATCAAATTACAGCCAATAGGAGAATGAGCAATCAGTCAGCACAACACCCCAACTTATGATTTCCTGTTGGATATGTATTCTCGTTTCACTATTTTAACTCTGGGAGATATGATGTTCAATAAATAGACACTGCCCATAGCATTTTCAGTATTATCGCAACCTGAACAATGAAAAGGAGAATAAATATCCAACAGTAAAACATAAGTTGGGGTGTTGTGCTGACTGATTCCTCTGTTTTCATATTGACTGTAATTTGATGACGTTACCTCTTATTCCACCAATCACAGTTAAGAAAGAGATTACTGGAAGAACGCAATATGTACGACACCACTATCCATTGTTTTGGGGCACCGACTCCCCTAGGAGGACCTATAGTGAGCCACAGGCCTTGGCAGGGTCCCTGGGAGCAGTGGCGCCCCATAAAGAGGCCTGCGGGGAGTCACCGCCTCTGGAAAGGCCCCTGAAGGCGCCACCGCCGCTGGCACGGCCTCTGGGAGCACCACTGTTCCTATGAACGTACCTGGAGGCGCCTTCGTCCCTGGAAAGACCCCAGGGACCTTGACTGTCCCTGTGAGGGCACCTAGGGTCGTCAGTTTCCCTAGCAGGGCCCCAGGGGGCGCCGCCGTCCCTGTGAGGGTCCCTAGGAGCGTTTCCTGGCCCCTGCGCGGGTCCTTGAGGTTGCCTTCCTGGAGAGTCCCATGGAAGCTGGTTGTTCCTGGAGGAGCCCCCTGTGGACGCCAGCCTTCCTGAGAAGGCCCCTAGGATTGCAGTTGTCCCTAAGAGTGCCCCTGGTGGATCCAGCGCCCCTGACACGTCCCCTGGGGGCACCGCCGTCCCTGAGAGGGCCCTGGGCTCGCCTTCGTGAGCTGCATGGCCAAGTGACCCTCACAGGGATAGCGGCGATCCCAGGGTCCCTTACAGGGACGAAGGAACCTTCTGGGGTGTTCCCAGGGACGGCGGCGCCCCCAGGGGCCATACCACAGCGGTGGCGCATTCAGGGGCCCTTCCAGAGGCGGTGTCTCTCCCAGGGTCCCTCTATGGGGCGTCTATACTCCCAAGGAACCTGCCAGGGGTTGCGGCGCCCCTATGGGCCCTCCTAGGGCCGGCGGCGTTGGTATGGGCCCTCCTAATGGCAGTGGGTGCCTTTCCAGGGGCGACGGCGCCTCCAGGGGCCCTTTCACATGCAGCAAAGCCCCAAGAACTTCATAGGTTTGTCGTTTATTTTGCATTCGTCCAGTAATCTCAGACAGGAACAACACCCCAAATCCTATGATGTGCTGTTGGATATTTATTCTCGTTTCAATTATTTAAACTCTGAAGACATATTTAAATAAATAAACACTGTCCATATAGAGCATTTTTCAGTATTATCACGACCTGAACAATGAAAAAGGAGAATAAATATCCAAATAAGAAAAACATAAGTTGTGGTGTTGTGCTGACTGATTCCTCTGTTTTCCTATTGGTTGTAATTTGATGACGTTCCTCTTATTCCACCAATCACAGTTAAGTAAGATATTACTGGAAGAATGCATATGCACGACATCACTATCCATTGTTTTGGGGGCACCGCTTCCCCTAGGAGGACAATCTTAGAGCTACAGGCCTTGGCAGGGTCCCTGGGGAGTTAAGTGGTGCCCCCACAAAGAGGCCTGGGAGAGCCACCGCTTCTGGAAGGGCCCCTGAAGGCGCCATCACCGCTGACAGGGCCGCTGGAAGCACCACGGTCCCTTGGAACGTACCTGGAGGAGCCCTTGTCCCGGGAAAGGCCCCAGGGATCATGGCTGTCCCTGTGAGGGCCCCAAACGTCACCAGTGCCCCTAGGAGATCCCATGGAGGCGGCGCTGTCCCTGTGAGGGTCCCTAGGAGCGTTTCCGTCCCTGCGAGGGTCCCTTGGAGCGTTGCCTTCCCTGAGAGTCCCATGGAAGCTCGGCTGTTCCTGGAGGAGCCCCTGTGGACGCCGCCTTCCCTGAGAAGGCCCCTAGGATTGCAGTTGTCCCTAAGAGTGCCCCTGGTGGATCCAGCGCCCCTGACACGTCCCCTGGGGGCACCGCCGTCCCTGAGAGGGTCCTGGGGTCGCCTTCGTGAGTTGCATGGTCAAGTGACCCTCACAGGGTTAGCGGCGATCCCAGGGTCCCTTACAGGGACGGGGGCGCCTTCAGGGGTGTTCCCAGGGACTGCGGCGCCCCTAGGGGCCATACCACAGCGGTGGCACATTCAGGGGCCATTCCTTAAACGGTGTCTCCCCCAGGGTCCCAATATGGGGCGTCTCTACTCCCAAGGAACCTGCCAGGAGTTGCAGCGACCCTATGGGCCCTCCTAGGGCCGGCGGCGCTGGTATGGGCCCTCCTAGTGGCAGTGGGTGCCTTTGCAGGGGCGACGGCGCCTCCACGGGCCCTTTCACATGCAGCAAAGCCCCATGAACTTCATAGGTTTGTCGTACATTTAGCATTCGTCCAGTAATCCCTTACTTAACTGTGATTGGTGGAGCAAGATGTAACGTCATCAAATTACAGCCAACAGGAGAACAGAGCAATCAATCAGCACAACACCCAAACTTATGATGTGCTGTTGGATATTTATTCTCGTTTCACTATTTAAACTCTGGAAGATATGACGTTAAATAAATAAACACTGTCCATAGAGCATTTTCAGTATTATCGCAACCTGAACAATGAAAAGGAGAAAAAATATCCAACAGCAAAACATAAGTTGGGGTGTTGTGCTGACTGATTCCTCTGTTTTCCTATTGGCTGTAATTTGATGACGTTCCCTCTTATTCCACCAATCACAGTTAAGTTAGATATTACTGGAAGAATGCAATATGTACGACATCACTATCCATTGTTTTGGGTACCGCCTCCCCTAGGAGGACAACTTGTGAGCCACAGGCCTTGGCAGGGTCCCTGGGAGCAGTGGCGCCCCATAAAGAGGCCTGGGGGGAGGTACCGCTTCTGGAAGGGCCCCTGAAGGCGCCACCACCGCTGACAGCGCCGCTGGAAGCACCACGGTCCCTAGGAACGTACCTGGAGGAGCCCTCGTCCCGGGAAAGGCCCCAGGGATCATGGCTGTCCCTGTGAGGGGCCCTAACGTCACCAGTGCCCCTAGGAGATCCCATGGGGGCGGCGTTGTCCCTGTGAGGGTCCCTAGGAGCGTTTCCGTCCCTGCGAGGGTCCCTTGGAGCGTTGCCTTCCGTGAGAGTCCCATGGAAGCTCGGCTGTTCCTGGAGGAGCCCCTGTGGACGCCGCCTTCCCTGAGAAGGCCCCTAGGATTGCAGTTGTCCCTAAGAGTGCCCCTGGTGGATCCAGCGCCCCTGACACGTCCCCTGGGGGCACCGCGGTCCCTGAGAGGGCCCTGGGCTCGCCTTCGTGAGTTGCATGGCCAAGTGACCCTCACAGGGATAGCGGCGATCCCAGGGTCCCTTACAGGTACGAAGGCGCCTTCAGGGGTGTTCCCAGGGACGGCGGCGCCCCCAGGGGCCATACCACAGCGGTGGCGCATTCAGGGGCCCTTCCAGAGGCGGTGTCTCCCCCAGGGTCCCTCTATGGGGCGTCTATACTCCCAAGGAACCTGCCAGGGGTTGCGGCGCCCCTATGGGCCCTCCTAGGGCCGGCGGCGTTGGTATGGGCCCTCCTAATGGCAGTGCGTGCCTTTCCAGGGGCGACGGGGCCTGCAGGGGCCCTTTCACATGCAGCAAAGCCCCAAGAACTTCATAGTTTTGTCGTACATTTTGCATTCGTCCAGTAATCCCTTACTTAACTGTGATTGGTGGAGCAAGATGTAACGTCATCAAATTACAGCCAATAGGAGAACAGAGTAATCAATCAGCACAACACCCAAACTTATGATGTGCTGTTGGATATTTATTCTCGTTTCAGTATTTAAACTCTGGAAGATATGACGTTAAATAAATAAACACTGTCCACAGAGCATTTTCAGTATTATCGCAACCTGAACAATGAAAAGGAGAATAAATATCCAACAGCAAAACATAAGTTGGGGTGTTGTGCTGACTGATTCCTCTGTTTTCCTATTGGCTGTAATTTTATGACGTTCCCTCTTATTCCACCAATCACAGTTAAGTTAGATATTACTGGAAGAATGCAATATGTACAACATCACTATCCATTGTTTTGGGGCACCGCCTCCCCTAGGAGGACAACTTGTGAGCCACAGGCCTTGGCAGGGTCCCTGGGAGCAGTGGCGCCCCATAAAGAGGCCTGGGGGGAGCCACCGCTTCTGGTAGGGCCCCTGAAGGCGCCACCGCCGCTGACAGGGCCGCTGGAAGCACCACAGTCCCTAGGAACGTACCTGGAGGAGCCCTCGTCCCGGGAAAAACCCCAGGGATCATGGCTGTCCCTGTGAGGGCCCCTAACGTCACCAGTGCCCCTAGGAGATCCCATGGGGGTGCCGCTGTCCCTGTGAGGGTCCCTAGGAGCGTTTCCGTCCCTGCGAGGGTCCCTTGGAGCGTTGCCTTCCCTGAGAGTCCCATGGAAGCTCGGCTGTTCCTGGAGGAGCCCCTGTGGACGCCGCCTTCCCTGAGAAGGCCCCTAGGATTGCAGTTGTCCCTAAGAGTGCCCCTGGTGGATCCAGCGCCCCTGACACGTCCCCTGGGGGCACCGCCGTCCCTGAGAGGGCCCTGGGGTCGCCTTCGTGAGTTGCATGGCCAAGTGACCCTCACAGGGATAGCAGCGATCCCAGGGTCCCTTACAGGGACGGGGCCACCTTCAGGGGTGTTTCCAGGGACGGCGGCGCCCCCAGGGGCCATGCCACAGCGGTGGCGCATTCAGGGGCCCTTCCAGAGGCGGTGTCTCCCCCAGGGTACCTCTATGGGGCGTCTCTGCTCCCAAGGAACCTGCCAGGGGTTGCGGCGTCCCTATGGGCCCTCCTAGGGCCGGCGGCGCTGGTATGGGCCCTCCTAGTGGCAGTGGATGCCTTTGCAGGGCGACGGCGCCTCCACGGCCTCTTTCACATAAGTAAAAGCCCCATGAACTTCATATAGGTTTGAAATGTGACATTTGCATTCGCCCAGTATCCTCATTAACTGTGATTGCATAATGTCAATTACTGAGAACAGAAGGTTTAATCAAAGCACAACACCTAACTTATGATGTGCCGTTGGATATTTATTCTCGCTTTCATCATTTTATCTCTGGAAGATATGACGTTAAATAAATAAACACTGTCCATAGAGCATTTTCAGTATTATCGCAACCTGAACAATGAAAAGGAGAATAAATATCCAACAGCAAAACATAAGTTGGGGTGTTGTGCTGACTGATTCCTCAGTTTTCCTATTGGCTGTAATTTGATGACGTTCCCTCTTATTCCACCAATCACAGTTAAGTAAGATATTACTGGAAGAATGCAATATGTACGACATCACTATTTAAACTCTGGAAGATATGACGTTAAATAAATAAACACTGTCCATAGAGCATTTTCAGTATTATCGCAACTTGAACAATGAAAAGGAAAATAAATATCCAACAGCAAAACATAAGTTGGGGTGTTGTGCTGACTGATTCCTCTGTTTTCCTATTGGCTGTAATTTGATGACGTTCCCTCTTATTCCACCAATCACAGTTAAGTTAGATATTACTGGAAGAATGCAATATGTACGACATCACTATCCAATGTTTTGGGGCACCGCCTCCCTTAGGAGGACAACTTGTGAGCCACAGGCCTTGGCAGGGTCCCTGGGAGCAGTGGCGCCCCATAAAGAGGCCTGGGGGGGAGCCACCGCTTCTGGAAGGGCCCCTGAAGGCGCCACCGCCGCTGACAGGGCCGCTGGAAGCACCACAGTCCCTGTGAGGGCCCCTAACGTCACCAGTGCCCCTAGGAGATCCCATGGGGGTGCCGCTGTCCCTGTGAGGGTCCCTAAGAGCGTTTCCGTCCCTGCGAGGGTCCCTTGGAGCGTTGCCTTCCCTGAGAGTCCCATGGAAGCTCGGCTGTTCCTGGAGGAGCCCCTGTGGACGCCGCCTTCCCTGAGAAGGCCCCTAGGATTGCAGTTGTCCCTAAGAGTGCCCCTGGTGGATCCAGCGCCCCTGAGACGTCCCCTGGGGGCACCGCCGTCCCTGAGAGGGCCCTGGGGTCGCCTTCGTGAGTTGCATGGCCAAGTGACCCTCACAGGGATAGCAGCGATCCCAGGGTCCCTTACAGGACGCAAGGCTTCAGGGTGTTCCCAGGGACGGCGGCGCCCCTAGGGCCATGCCACAGCGGCAGGCATTCAGGGCCCTTCCAGAGGCGGTGTCTCCAGGTCCCTCTAGGGCCTCTCTCTGTCTCATGAACCCGTTAGGGCTGCAGACCCTCAAGGGCCCTCCTAGGCCGGCGGTGCTGGTATGGGCCCTCCTAGTGGCAGGGTGCCTTTCCAGGGGCGGTAGGGTTCTGCCAGGGCGACGGCGCCTCCAGGGCCCTTTCATGGCGCAGCAAAGCCCCATGAACTTATAGGTTTCCGTAATATTTGCATTCGTCCAGTAACTTTGAGTTTAACTGCGGATATCAGTTAATAACACCTGGGAACCATATGTGCTGTTGGATATTTCTTTTCGTTTCACTGTTTAAACTCTGGGTGATATGAGTTAAATAAATAGACACTGCCCATAGCATTTTCAGTATTATCGCAACCTGAACATTGAAAAGGAGAATAAATATCCAACAGCAAAACATAAGTTGGGGTGTTGTGCTGACTGATTCCTCTGTTTTCCTATTGGCTGTAATTTGATGACGTTCCCTCTTATTCCACCAATCACAGTTAAGTAAGATATTACTGGCCGAATGCAATATGTACGACATCACTATTTAAACTCTGGAAGATATGACGTTAAATAAATAAACACTGTCCATAGAGCATTTTCAGTATTATCGCAACTTGAACAATGAAAAGGAAAATAAATATCCAACAGCAAAACATAGCAGGAAATAGGTTCGATTCTGTTTTGTTGATGACGTTCTATCATTCAATCACAGTTAAGTAAGATATTACTCGAAGAATGCAATATGTACGACATCACTATCCATTGTTTTGGGGCACCGCCTCCCCTAGGAGGACAACTTGTGAGCCACAGGCCTTGGCAGGGTCCCTGGGAGCAGTGGCGCCCCATAAAGAGGCCTGGGGGGAGCCACCGCTTCTGGAAGGGCCCCTGAAGGCGCCACCGCCGCTGACAGGGCCGCTGGAAGCACCACGGTCCCTAGGAACGTATCTGGAGGAACCCTCGTCCCGGGAAAGGCCCCAGGGATCATGGCTGTCCCTGTGAGGGGCCCTAACGTCACCAGTGCCCCTAGGAGATCCCATGGGGGCGGCGTTGTCCCTGTGAGGGTCCCTAGGAGCGTTTCCGTCCCTGCGAGGGTCCCTTGGAGCGTTGCCTTCCCTGAGAGTCCCATGGAAGCTCGGCTGTTCCTGGAGGATCCCCTGTGGACGCCGCCTTCCCTGAGAAGGCCCCTAGGATTGCAGTTGTCCCTAAGAGTGCCCCTGGTGGATCCAGCGCCCCTGACACGTCCCCTGGGGGCACCGCCGTCCCTGAGAGGGCCCTGGGGTTGCCTTCGTGAGTTGCATGGCCAAGTGACCCTCACAGGGATAGCAGCGATCCCAGGGTCCCTTACAGGGACGTGGGCGCCTTCAGGGGTGTTCCCAGGGACGGCGGCGCCCCCAGGAGCCATGCCACAGCGGTGGCGCATTCAGGGGCCCTTCCAGAGGCGGTGTCTCCCCCAGGGTCCCTCGATGGGGCCTCTCTGCTCCCAAGGAACCTGCCAGGGGTTGCGGCGACCCTATGGGCCCTCCTAGGGTTGGCGGCGCTGTTATGGACCCTCCTAGTGGCAGTGGGTGCCTTTCCAGGGGCGGCAGGGTCTCTGCCAGGGGCGATGGCGCCTCCAGGGGCCCTTTCACATGCAGCAAAGCCCCATGAACTTCATAGGTTTGTCGTACATTTTGCATTCGTCCAGTAATCCCTTGCTTAACTGTGATTGGTGGAGCAAGATGTAACGTCATCAAATTACAGCCAATAGGAGAACAGAGCAATCAATCAGCACAACACCCAAACTTATGATGTGCTGTTGGATATTTATTC